AAGGAAAATTTTCTAACATATCATATTTGATTATCTCATCTTAAAGAAAACAGGGAAAATGTGCCCCACTTTGTATGGAAAATTTCCTAAAGAGTATTATTATAACTTTGAACAAAAAGAAAACTTGGTAATGTCTGCAGTTAGATATTAGGTATGTTTGGGACTATTATAATAGTTAATTTATTTTGCATTCACCGTATAAATACCTTATGTATATTAAGTTATTTAATTCTCAAAATAAACCTGGATGATAAGTAATATTATTGTCTCCAATTTACTGAGGTGATAAGTAATGTTAGTATCTCCAATTTACTGAGGAGTAAACTGAGGCACAGAGAAGGTCACACATTCAGGGAAGGCCAAAGGTCATACATTCAGGGAATGATCCAGGATTTGATAAGCATCAGGATCCAGAGTCTAAGCTCCTACGTTAGTCTGTTTGTGCTGCCGTAGCAAAACACCATAAACTGAGTGGCTTAAATAACAGAAACCTGTTTTCTCATAGTTCTGGATACTGGACGTCCAAGATCAAGGTGACAGCAGGGCCAATGTCTGATGAAGGCTCTCTCCTTGATTTGCAGATAGCCACATTCTCTCTGCATCGTCATATGATTAAGTGAGAGAGATAAAGAGACAGATGTTTCTCTTTCTTCCTCTTCTTAAAGGCCACAATTTTTATCAGAGTAAGGCCCCATTTTTATGACTCATTTAATGTTTTTGTTTTTGTATTTTATTTTTGAGATAGAGTCTTGGTCTGTCACCCACGCTGGAGTGCAATGGCACGATCTCAGCTCACAGCAACCTCCTGGGTGCAAGCAATTCTGCCTCAGCCTTCTGAGTAGCTGTGATTACAGGTTCACACCACCACGCCTGGCTAATTTTTGTATTTTTTGTAGAGACCGGGTTTCACCATGTAGGCCAGGCTGGTCTCAAACTCTTGACCTCAGGTAATCCACCTGTCTTGGCTTCCCAAAGTGCTGGGATTACAGGTATGAACCACTACGCCTGGCCTGACTCATTTAATATTAATTATATCCTACCATCACTATCTCCAGATAGAGTCATATAAGGCTCCACCATGTGAATGCTGGAAGGACAAAATTTCATCCATAGCATTTTACCATTGGCTTGCAAAAATTCATATCTTTACTGCATGGAAAATACATTAATCTCATCTCATCCGCCCAAATGCCTTAACTCACTGCAGCATGAACTCTAAGTTTAAAGTCAAAAGTCTCACCCAAACATTTTCTAAATCAGACATGGATGAGAATGGAGATGTGATTCATGATGAGGCAAATTCATCACTGCCTGTGAACCTGTGAAACCAGATGAGCTGTATGTTTCCTTTCCACAATACAATGGTGGGACAGGCATAGGATGGATATCTTATTCCAAAAGGGAGAAATAGGAAAGAAAGAATGGGTGATGGGGTCCAAGCAAACCCAAAACTTATTAATGTAAATTCTGTCAGATCTTAAGGCTTGTAAGGCTTGAGAATAGCTCTGTTTGGTTTGATGCTCTGCCTTCCAGGTCAATGGAATGGCAGATTCATTTCTCAGGCTCTGCAAGACAGCCTTGCCCCTTCTGCTGTCTCTAAGGGCTCCATTCACACAGTTCTCTGTGAGGATAGCCCTGCTTCTGAGACACCAGGCAGAGTCACCCTGGCTCACTAAAACCAGAAACAGCATTTTCTTTGAAATGAAAAGGGAAACTGCTTTGGCCCCTGGGCCTGTGGTGGAAGTGGCAACCCTCATGACTTCAGAATCACTTTGGGTACATTCTTTCCTTTCCTTGAAGAAGAGCACACATTCACAACTAAATAGCTCTATGTTCTGGCTCTGTAGAATCCAAAAAGTCCAGCATCCTTTTCTCATTCTGTCCTGCCATCTCTGTATCCTTCAGTTCAAACTGGAGGTGTATTTGCTGATATGATCTCTATTCCTGCCTTCTGCTGAAACGGCTGATTAAGTACATGAGTGGCACTCACAATCTTGTTATCAATTGATTGTTCAGCCACGCCCTTAGTGTTATCTTTATAACACAGTTTCTCATTTTTTACAATATGAATAAGCTGAGAATTTTCCAAATATTTAAATTTTGGTTCCTTTTTGCTTAACAATTCCTTTAATTAACTTCTCTTTTTTTTTTTTTTTTTTTGCATTTTACTATAAGCAGACAGGAGAAATCAATCTGCTCCTTCAACACTTTTCTAAGAAATCTTCTTAGCCAAATATCCAAGTTCATTACTTGTAAGGTTGAGTTTTATACCATTTTATAACAAGGATTTGTTATAAACCTTTCTTACAGTTTCCGTAACATTTTTCTCATTTCTTTCTGTGACCTCAACAGAATCACCCTTAACATCCATATTTCTACCATTCACCCCAAACTCTTCTAGTCTCTAACAATTACCCAGTTCTAAAGTCACTTCCACATGTTTAGGTATTTGTTACAGCAGCACCCCACTTTTTACACCAAAGTTTTCATTAGTTTGGGTCATCAGAACAAGACTGCAATGATTATAATTAATTAATTAATAGTTAATTTTCAATTTGTCTTTCTTATATTTTTGGAAACATGGGATGCATGCTACAAAAAGAAAAATAAGAGCAGTTTAAGTGAGATTTACAAATGATATATGCGAAGAGATATAAAATGTTATATTATTACTATTATTGAATGCTTTTTAAAATCTCACATTAGGTAATGTTGTGATATATTGACAAAACAATTCTTTAATCAAATGCTTAATACATTGCTTAAAATGTATAAAAATGTTCAGAAGAATATGAAGCAGATTTGTTATAACCACTAAAATTCTTTCTTCCAAATCATTTAACATTGAATATTGTGTGTATTCAATGTTAAATAATCTTGATGAAAATTTCTGGTAGTCATATTGTTCCTAAAATAAGATAGTAGAACGAGTGTTGAATGGAGTAAAGATAGTATTTGATAAGTTGATCTTTTCCCAGGCACCAATTTCCTCATTTGTAAAGATAATAAAATAGATGACATATCACATACCTTCCACTCTTAAAATTTTGATTCTAAAAATGTTGGTGTTTAGCATTGTGTCTATCTGCTTTATTGAACTCTCAATCACTAGGCAGAATTTGAACAATCTTCCTCAGTAAAATTACAAATACCTGCATTGCTTTCAGAGCAATCAGTGCCTATTAATTCTTGGACAAGTTCATTGTTTCCTGTTTGATGAAGAACATTCAGAAATGTAGAGAACCAGTTTTCTTTCTGCACAATCCTTTTTAGTAGCTCTCTTACACCTGATTCATTTCCATTGTTTTCTGCAGCAGAAATCTGTTGTAAGAGAAAATTAGAATTAAATAATATCAAACATCTTTTGAATAACCTTAAACAGGAACTACTTTTTAGAAAAACAGCAATTAAGCATAAGTATAAATAAAGCTTTATATTGAAACGCTAAAGAAAATAGCAATATTACCTGTAGCAATTCTGAAGTCAGCAGGGAAAAAAAAAATCTCTGGACCAAGTGCCCTTTTAAATATGAACCATTTTTTTAATAAAGCTATTGAATTATTCAAACCTGACACTTAGAAAATAATTTTTACCTCAGCCATTCCTGAATAAAAAGCACAAGAGAAAGTATCTTTAGTCTCTAGCCATATTATGTCTATTTTTACCTATTTCTTTCTACATATCTAGGGCTGGCTATACTTTTTCAAACTACGGAATCTAGAAACGGGAATTCAAACATTTCTTACCTAATTCTTCTTTCTTCATGATTATCATTATGCAATAAGTAATTACTATGTAGATATATTCTTTCCTATTTAATATTTGCACAGTTCATTACTACTATAATCAATTTTTCTCAAATTTGTGTTTATTTCATATTAGGAAAAATTTATTTTTATACCTTTTCTTTGGAAATATGAGGGAGAATTATTTCTATATTCATTCATTAGAGTCTTTCAGCCTTAATTTATTTTCTGTTTTAGGTTAATCTAGTACTCATTTGTGTAATAATTGTCACAGTGCATCTTCCCACATCCTAATACAGTGATAAGGATTTGGAGAAAAGGTTAACTCAAGCCATGTTTAGACCTAAAAGAAGTTAGGCAGGACATCATTAGCTTTCTGTAGCATTAGGCAATTTACTTCATCACTCTGGACTGGTTTCAGTATGTGGAGAACAAGGCAGCTGAAAAGAAATTTCAGGGTTTCTGCACATTAGAATCACCCATGGAACTTTAAAAAATACTGATGTCTATGAAACACTCCTAAAATATTCTGATTTATGTTGTCTATGTTGAGGACTCAGATATTAAAGAAAAATTAAAGCATTTCATGTGATTCTATCAACCTTCCAGATAAGACATATTGACTTAGACATTATCAAAGGTCCTTCTCAATATCTGCCAATCTTCCACATGTATAATTTGGATTGCTCAGTTTTTTCCTACAAAATTTATGTATTTTCTAATTCAATACATATATTCCATAACCGTTTATGTCAGAAATTTGTTAGCATGTTTGGAACAATGTCTGGCACTAATTCAGTGCTAGCAATTATTATGGATGTCATCATTATTAAAGAGTCATCATTACAAACATCTCACCTGCACAAGCATATACAGCATGATCTCCACCCAAGGGATATTTCCGTCTTAGCATCTAGCAGTTAAGCAAGCTGTTCTAAGTAACTTGAATATATTAACCCACCAGCCTACTAGTAGGTATCAATATTAACCCATTTACAGATCAGAAATCCAAGGCACAGAGATGTTTGGTTACCTCTCTGAGATCACAAAACCAGTAAGCAGCAGAAGTAGAATTTGATCCCAGGCAATTGGATTTAGAGAATGAATCCTACCTTCTTGAACTATAATTATAGCTTGAATTTTTCTCCAATTCTAAGTTCATTTTCTGGCGAGAAGTGATTAAAAATAACTATTTGAGCTCAGTAACTTTCAAGTGATTTCAGTTCATGTCCTCCACAGCAATTTCTAAGCAGATTTTTGCTTTTTTTTTTTTTTTTTACCATTTTTTTTCTAACTCTCCTGGTCTCCTAATGGCAATTATTTGGCGTCTCCGGTGTTGTAGCATCTTAGTTATCGTCTGCTAATTTAACAAGTAACTGCTATAGATGTAAATAAGACTGGTTTCAGTGCCTTCTTTTAACTCAGCCATTCTCATATTTTACTATCCCATCCTTTAATCAGCTTTAAATATATTTGACTGAAGCAAGAGGGAAGGATTTCCTAAAAAGAACTAGTGAGGCACTGTAACAAATACTGTTATTAAAAAACCCTAAGCATATTCTGTCCACGGAATTTTCTTCAACTACTAATCCATTAAGTGGACTTTTGCTGTGGAATCATATTTGTCAAGCTTTCTTTGCCTTTACTGAGTCCAAGCATGTAAAGATCATGGTGCCATTATTTCCTAAACATATACTTATAATTTGAATGTGGAACTACATATATCTGTGTAATTAGTAGCCTCATCAAGATGCTGAATTCTTAAGAAATCTTCCCAGTTTTGATGCTGGAAAGTACAACTCCCTTTGAAGCAATTATATGATTTATAATATTTAATCTGTTCTCCTAAAACATTGTAAAGATATTACATCCCAATATGTAAACACAATTATAGAAATTTGTGGGAGGTGAATATTTAGATTTGAGACTGCAACACACCATGAAACAATTCTCACCCATGCCCCTTCCCACTCGAATTTTCCTCTATGAAGTTAAAAATGGGTGGATGTTTTTATGACTATGTAGTCTATTTAATACATTGTTAACTAATTTATGAAAGATGAAATAAAATGAATTTGGGGATAAACAACTCAATGCTTTCATATTCTAAATTCTGTGATATGAATCTAACGTAGCATCAGGGAACTTAAATAACTTGGCCCAAAGTAAACATACATAGTAAGAAGCCAAGATGGACTCAAATTCATGTGTTCCATTTCTACATTCTTATCACACTTTTTTCCTTCTGTGAGGTCGGCTGCCTCACAGAGGGTTAAAGGGACACATCCATCTCTCTCCCTGCCTGATAATTGCATCATCACCCAAGCTCGTTATCTGGCCTTGCCACACGACTTCCCGCACCCGCCTCCGCATACCAGACCCAAGCCCACATTCAGCACTAAATTATGCATTTAACCCCCAGCCAGCTGTTAATAAACCCTGCAGGAAAAATTTTTAAAGAAGCCCCATCAGACCCTGCCCTGTAGCAGTCTGCTCTGTGTGCCCCCGGAAGGCCCACTTACCTAAGGTCCCACCTGCCTACCCATGACCACTAGCTCCAGGCATTTCCTGCTTCTTAATGGCCAATAGGATTGCCTTCACTTTGTTTCCCCAACAGCTAATCAAGACCCATTTGCCCAAAGTCCCTCCCGCCTACCAATAGCAACTAGTTTCAGGCACTTCCTGCTTCCTGACAGCCAATGAAATTGCCTTTGCTTTGTTTCCCCAATGGCCAATCGATCGCCTTCCCTTCCCATAAAGCCCCATGACCTAAACAGCTGGGTGCGACTTCTTTGGCCCCGACTTCTTTGGCCCCTTCCTGGACCACAGAACCTCGCCAGGGAGCTGAATAAATTGGCTTCTCATTTTCTCATACTTACCTCAGTTTCCTCGTTTTACATAGGCAATAAACCTTACACCTTCATTTTTATTAAACTACACGATTGGCTTACCAACACAATTGTATATTTTAATAAAAATGTTTTCTTCCCTTTATAATAATCTTAGCTCTTTAAATATAATGGTGATTTTTTTACCCAGCAGAGTTGAACTCTCAGATAAAAGTAAATCAGGAAGCAAAACTTGCATGTTAAAAATAAAGAATTTTTAAAAACCAGTTTCCCACAAACAGTTAATGTATTAACCAAATGAATGTTATTGTCATATCGACATAACTAATTTCTTATTCACACTTTTTTTTTTGCAAATGAAATCCTTATCCTTCCTAATTTGCCACACCATACAATGTTCTTGGGGAGACTGACTTGGGTACTCAACTTCATGTTGGGAGAACTGGACTTTTTTTAGCTAGACTTGTCATGGCATCTCTTGTTCTCTTGTGTAAATGGAAGATGTGTGCAGTCTCCAGGACTACAGCTGCATTGTGTTCTCAGCTGGCCAGGAAGGAAACATGCACCTCTCTTTAGCTGTTCAGCTTGATTATTGAGACACTATGGAAATGTTTATGTGATCACTTCTGTTCCCAGAGTTCATGACTGTCTAAGTTGATGGGTATGCCAAGTTGTCACTAAGCATCCTAAAAGAGGAGCAGGGCCATACAGGGGTACCCACTTACTGTTAAGGACCACTTTATTATAATGATTGCTAAAATGCCATGTATTGATAAAATGACATATTATTGCTGATTCTCTAGTATTTAGAATAGTACCTTCAATATAGTAAACATTCTTTAATCAACACTGATTAATATCTCAACACAACTTCATGAAAGGACAGAACAATGTCTGTGTTTTTCTCCTATCTTTTCACCACTAGCATGGCATCTGGCACAAAGATGAGACTCAATAAATTCGAACTGAATGAATGAATGAATGAGTTTTGGGGTACTTCCTGGATACAAACTGAAGTCTAAAATCATTTTCAGAAGCTGTATTTAGGGGCGGAAGCTAGGAGATGGGGTGGGAATCCTAAACTAAAATAAGAGATCCAGTAGAAAATATCTATGGTAAAACAGAAAAAGAATGAAAATACAAGACCATTTTATAGAAGTCTTCATTACTTTGTTACATGCTATTTTAAGCTGTCTAAAAAGCAAATTTGGAAATCTTATGTTCATCATTCATCCATTCTCTAACGCCTGGCAACGCAATCCAATACATTATGTGTTTTCAACACTTATTCCAGACACTTTCAGAAATAAACTCAAATCAGTCTATCAATCAAGTAATCAATGCTTATTAGACACCAACCCTATACCTAATTCTGGTTAGGTTCTGGGATCAAATAAGTGATTTCTTTCTCAAATCAGTATAATCTAGGGACTTTAAGAAGTATATCTCTGGCTGGGCGAGGTGGCTCATACCTGTAATCCCAGCATTTTGGGAGGCTGAGGCGGGTGGATCACCAGGTCAAGAGATGGAGACCACTCTGGCCAACAAGGTGAAACCCTGTCTCTACTAAAAATACAAAAATTAGCTGGGTGTGTGGTGCTCGTGCCTGTAGTACCAGCTACTCAGGAGACTGAGACAGGAGAATCACTTGAACCCAGGAGGAGGAGGTTGCGGTGAGCCAAGATCATACCACTGCACTCCAGCCTGGGAGATAGAGCAAGACTCCGTCTCAAAAAGAAAAAAAGTATATCTCAATTGCAACATGGGTAATTTACCCAAGTCTTTCAAACTTAAATTTACAAGGAACTGTAATCAGATGAATAGTAATAAAAGTCAACATCATTATCATATCAAATAGCTCTGATTTATAAGCTTTTTCATAAACACTATTTCTGATTTGATGTTGACTAAAATACTGTGAGAAATTTTATGATGTCCATTTTCACGGGTAAACATAGTATCAGGGAACTTAAATAACTGGCCCAAAGTATACATATATAGTAAGAAACCAGGATAGACCTCAAATTCATGTGTTCCCCTTCTACATTTTCATCACACTTCGCTGCTATAAGATTAACATTCGTCAATGACCCCCACATCAATATAGATTATTCTCCCAAACGTAATCCTTCCTTCTCATTGTCCACCATAGCTTATTTTTGGAACTGGTAATTCATGTAAAATGATGCAAACAAAAATTATTCCAGACTCTCATAGAGATACTACTTTATAGCTGCTCAGTCTTTCGGGGCCTTTTTTTGAAATGTGAATCAGAGGGAGAATTTGGGTTGCTTTGGCCTTAACTGCTACCAGTACACAAAAGTCCCTTTTACTCTGTATCTTCTTTGTGTCAAATCCCTTACATTACTGCTAGCTGCCTCCAAGCTTGCCAGAATCAAGAACTTGGATAAAATCTAGCTGGCGGAAATTCAATCCAGGCAAGACAAAAGTGATGCTGATAGGCAGAAGTATTTAGAGTAAATAGGGAGAAGTGCTGTTTCGCTGGCAATCGGGACATCATACCCACCAAACATAAACAGCTTTGTGGTGTTACTGGACTCTGTTGCTTCTGGACTTCTAACAGCTACTGTGGCTGGAAATGCCATCTTCCATCTCCAGCTGGCTTGAAGGCTGCATACTTTCTTCCAAATTAAGATTCTGCCACAGTGATGTACACATTTGTCATATCCAGCTGGACTACTATAATGCGTTCTAGCTGGTTCTCAATACACAAAACGACATAAACATTACAGACAACAGTGCAAAGTAATTTACTTGTTGGGAAAACTGGCCATCAAAATTATATGCATGTTTGGGTCTTTGGACAGGCCCTGTGTCTGTCAAGTCTCCAAAAGACCATTAACTTTATTCACTAAAGACTATCTTGCATCATAGGCTATAGCCAATCAATCAAATGCCCAGAATTTTGTAATGAATATGCAAACAATGGATGAACCACCAAGAGAGAAAAATCATGTGAAAATCATAGTGAGGTGTAGACAAAGCCTTTGACTTTTAGTCATGGCTTTGTCTACATGTCTTTCAAAACAAGACTTTTGACTTACGAGCCTGAGTAAGTCAGATTCAAACAGGTCAGCATTTATACACATCACAGTACATCTTCACTTATCAAAAAACAATTCATATCACATTCAATGTAAAGTCATCAGTAAAATTCGCCCTGCCAAAATGCCACCTTAAGAAAAATCCAGTTTCTTCACTAATATGAAAAACCGAAACTAGCAACACATTCTTCCAATGAATTGCTTCTAAATTTTGATGATTAGAGAACGTTGAAACTTTGATTAAAGAAAGAAAAAAGGTGTGTGTATGTGTGTGTCTGTATCTGAGTGTAATTTACCCATTTGGGCTAAGACTAAATGGTACAATGTGTAATGTAGGGCAGAGATTGGAAATCCTTTTCTCTAAAGTGCCAGATAATAAATATTTTAGGCTTTAAGGCCACACAATCTCCAATTGCCTTTGGAGCAGAGAAGCAGCCACAAACAATATGTAAACAGACGAGTATGACTGCGTCATACTGACTCTGAACTGTGTCAATAAAACTTTATAAACACTGAAAATTAAAAATTGAAAAATCTAAAGACCATCCTTAGCTTGTGGGCCTGAAAAAAACGGCAGTAGGCTGGATTTAGCTGGTGGGCCCTAGTTTGCTCCATGGAACTACATTAAATAAGAAAAAAATTCAACACTGGCAAGAGCTAAATTTTTAGCTCTGCCACTGTTCTTTTTGGGAGACTATTATTCAGCCTGGCAGATTATTTAACCTGCCTTAGCTTTCTCATCTGTAAAATGGAGTTAATAACATTAGGAGCTTCAGTGGATTACTCTGAACGGGAACTGTAGTAATACATTTTGAAAATGATACAAATTGCACATAGTAAGTGTTCAATAAATGTTACCCGTTAATATACGATTCTAAAGTTAAGTCCTTTTTAGTTCAGTGAAAGAATTAGAGAAGTAGTTATTTTGTGTTTAAATTTTCAAAATTGTCTTAAAGTGCATACATGTTGTCTTCTCAAAGGAACTAACTAGATTTGCTCAAAGATGTCAAGCACATTTGGAATGGGGCAAACGCACAAGGAAGGCTGCTTTGCAAAATATGCCTAAAACGCCAGCTCCATCTGAACCGACACCTACCCGGTTTCTGTCTTCAATTGTCAACAGTTCCTCTTCCATGCATTTATCCAAGACGTCTCTAACTAGAAGCTTGTCCACCAGAGTGGGCTGAAGGAGGTTCAGCAGTTGGAGACATTCATCATGAGCGTTCTCAGATGTTGGAGAGGGCAAGTCAGTGAGCTCGGGGTTCATGTAGCGGGCGGCCAGAGGGCTTCCCGCTCTCCGAAGGGCCTCCACGAATTCCCGAGCCCAGCCATGGTGCCAGACTCCCTTCTCCAAGGTGCACAGCAGCAGTTCAACTGCCTGTATGTTCCCGGAGGTGGCGACCGTCCTCTGAATCTGCTCCTTCACCTCTGCAGGCAGAAAGGTCAGGTAGTCCAGCACAGGCTCCACCTGGATGTACATTTTCACCCGGGCCCTAAAGCACGAGATGAGATAGCGGAAACTCTCGTCTGTGGAATACCCATTCGACATCCTTCCTTCTCAGAGAAGGGAGAGGGTCCTCCCAAGCAGAGGGTGCTTTTCTCTGCGGGACAGGTGAATTGTGCGTGCGGCTGTCCGCTGCCCACTAGTGGAGCAGGGTCTGCCGCCCTGTGCCTGACAACGAGGTTGCTCGCAGGGCCCTCCGGCCGGCACGCCGGGCCACGGTCGCACCTGGGCAGGTGGGCAGGTGGGCAGGTGGTGGGCAGCGGGGCGGCGCGCGGGGCCTTGGCAGGCAGGTGCGGCCGGCGGACGTGGACTTTGGACTCCGCGGTGTGCGCCTCGGTGCCGGACACACGGCGGATCCCGCTGCACGCTCGGGTGGGAGCTTCGAGTCCAGCTTTCTGTTCGGCAGTTCTTATGAGTTTGCCTGACTTTGGTTTCTGTTTCGATTCTCTTCGCAGGACTTTGCAAACGTAATCTGCCGGGCGGGGAGGGAGTTTCCTCGGGCAGGGAATTTCCTCGGGGAGGAGCCACCTTTTGGTCGGGGCGGGCGAGAGAGACCTCTGGTCAAGGACACCGCGGGAAACTGAAAAGGAAAGCGAATTCTGTCTGGCACCAAGACCAACGCACTTGCAAAGCTCCTTCTGCGGGTATTTTGTCTTCCCAGCGGGGTTCTGCCTTAACAATGAGGTCCTTTGTAGGCCAAAATGTGTAGCGCATAAAAGCGTGTGATTTGGGACTTTCCAATGGGGAAGTGAACAGAAACTGCCACAGACCGGGACGTGAACAGGGAGTTAACCCTCGGCTGGTGAATGCACACAGGCCTGGCTGAGGGTGGTGAGATGAGACGACGAGGGACGGGTGAGAGACGAAGGACAGACGACATCTTTCCAGAGATGTGGAAAAGCCAGGAGGAAGCCACCTCTGTGCCATTCCTAAAATAAACCTGACCTGTCCCAGGTTCCCAAACACTAACTGATTCCCCTGGGAATTTGGAGGTGGGTACAAAAAAGTGAGTCACAATAAACAGTTAACTTTACTGCCTCATATTTAGATTGCTAGTATTTATGCAGCTTTGACCCGGACCTGGTAACAGATGTGGATGGACTTGAACCACTAACTCAGCTTAGAAGGAAGCCAAGACAGAAAGTTCCCTATATTCTTTAATATACAACTTTCCTTTAATAAAACAAAACAAAAAAATCCCCCAACAACTTATTTTTGATATAGCTGCCATTCTTTTCTTGGATTCAATACAGCAAGTTTTGGCTGGAGCAGCTAGGAACTTAATTAGCAACTAATGTACCAACTTGTAGTAAACATCAACATTTGTCTATGTCATAAGAGAAAAAAAACATATTCACACTGAAAAATGGCAGCTTCATTTCAGTACAGAAGCCACGTAAATGTGAGTCCTTAAGGCTACTACTCATTCAGGAGGCATTCTGTAGCCCCGGGTGACTGTGGGCGGTAGGCACCTACGCATCATAACTAAAGCCTCATGGTCCACTACTGTATAAAGGATGGAGACATCATTTAAGTCATCAAAGAAACATATTTAGGAAAAATAATCTGTTAGCAAAGTACCTTCAGTAAAGTCTATGTGGGCCAGGAAAACCTGGTGTTGCTTTGAACTGGATGATAGAAGTACATAGCCTTGGTGAGTGTTTACTAGGGGTATACAAAATATCCAAATGAGCACTTTACGGTAAGGTTTCTTATTTTATTCTCTATCTTATGTAGGAAGCCTTTTTCTACCCCTGAACCAGTGTAAGCTGCTTGAAGAAGGGATATATTTACACAGTAACCAATACAATACTCACAATTAGTGGGTCCTTGATGATATCTCTCCCAGGAGTTGTATTTGAGTTGATCCTAGTGGCTAACATAATGTCAAATACATTGAAAGTTGAAGTAAATGAAACCTTGGACTTGCAGGTTGACTTGATTTATACTGTTCCTTGTTTCTTCACAGAACCCTCTCCTTTTTCACTTAGTTTTGGCAGTT